GATATTTCCTATCAAATCTACTTTACTATACCGTATATACCTTATGAAAGAGTTGCAGTGATAGTAATAAAATAATAAATAATGTAAATGTACTGTATAAACATAAACGATTGTAAATTTAGGCAAACGCTATAACTTATAGCCTATAAATATACTAACACGATAAAAAAAATTCATAATTGTTTTTGCAATTTATATGCAGTAAATTATAGAAATTGTGGTGAATTTTGCTATATTTGTTTTGTAAAAACATGAGTCAAAAAGAGGTTTCCTTAACAATTGACAGGAAATAAGGATTATTTAAGAATATCCTGGTTTTTAGATCTGGATGACTACAAAATTTGTAGTAAACATTATGACACTAGTTTACAAGTTATGACACTAATGAAAATTACTCAGTACATAGTGTACTGAAATGTGTATGTGTAGAATAACAGTATTCAAATGAAACATTTGGCATTTGAGTAAAGAATTTGGTATAAAAAATGACTTATTTATAGACTTGATCAAATAAAACAACAGAATGAAATTTATTGTATGAAATTGTGGTGATTTGGAAATGTATTATAAATTAACAACTATTTATGTTTTCAGTGCAACAAAGTCAGAGACGTCGAGACCCTCCACCCCCGCCCCCACAAGTGGCCAATGGGACGGCGGGCAACTGGCCTCCAGTGAGCGCACACAACAACAACACTAAGAAATTCTCATCGAATCCTATGCTTCACATACAGATCGGCTCATCTGTAGCCCAATCCAGTTGATGATCATTGGGTGACCACCGATCATATGATCGCATTCTAACGCATTCAACGAATATTATCTATCATGTGATGAAAACTTGACATCAATTGTTAAATTCACGACTTGAGTGCCTTTTTCACACACGACTGGCCGGTGACTGACATTGAAAACATATGTGAAATATTTTGACGGATTTAAGACATTTGATTACTATTTGTAAAGTTATGTTAATATACTTGCGATGAGAACTAATCAGTGTTTTTGAAATGGTTTATAAAAATGAATTTATTTTTGAAAGTGAAAAGAATTACAAATTATATATAAAATTGAGTCACAAAATGAAACTAAATTATGAAATAATAAAATGTTAGTTAAATATTATATTATATAATCATTATGAATGTACAATAAGAATAATTAATAAAATTATTAATTGATGTTAACATTGATTTTGGTCTAATTTTTTACAATTTTATAATAAAACAGTTGTAAGCATTTAATATGAATCAAATGAATTGTTTTAAACACATTTGATGGTAATATTTAAAATAAATTAGTGAATTCTGATTAAATGATATGATCTGGACATTTAAAATAAATACACATACAGTAGGAAAGCACTCGTAAAATATCGAGTGTCCCATCGTATCAGGACTACTTTAAATTAAAATTTAAAATATTTACAATTATATTATACCTACAAAAACTATACCAAAATGTTGGAAATTTATTCATATTTTATGTGCAATTTATAAAATATTCATAAATTTCTTACCCTGGTCATAATTATAGTTTTACTGCATTCATGTCTGTTTTTTCATAAAAAATGGCGAATTTCTTGCCGCTTAAGCATTGATTCAATTGATGCGAGCATTCAATGACAGTTGTATTCCTATGGTATTACGCAAAATAGACATGCATGCATTACAACTCAAATTATGACCAGGGTAGGGATTATATAAATATTTTGTAAATCTCACATAAACTATTAATAAATTTCCAACATTTTGGTATAGTTTTTGTTGGTATAATATAATTGTAAATATTTTTAATTTTAATTTCAAGTGAAAGTAGTCCTGATACGATGGGACACTCACTATAATTTCTATTAAATTAGTTTTGTCTCCTAATTTAAACACAGATTCACAAGAATTTCTAATTTTAGAGTTAATTTACATTAAATGTTTATTACAAAGCTATTGATATAATTTTCAAATAATACTGAATATTGCAAAGTTTTTGATAAACTAATATTTGAATTGACTTTTTATGTGTTTTCGAAGTGTTAAACACCGGATCAATGGAAACATAGAATTTAGAGTAAAACACATTGAAATCAAATCTTATATTGTATTCAAAATGCATTTATCGGTTTATATCAACTCTATTAGCATTTTCGATATCTTTTTCTTCATCTGAGTTCACATTGGATGGGGTGAGGGATGTGTCCAAAAGTGTTTGTCCGGCGTCACGCAGAATCTAAATGTACGCAAATATTAATAAATAAATTATTGAAAAATTACAAAACGAGACAAACCTTCAACTGGACGTCCAATTCTTGAAGAGCCTCTTGAATCCAATGGCTCTTAACATGACACAGATATCTGATGACAATAGCGAGCTGTGACACGGATAAGACCAGTGAAAGACATCGCGACTCGAGTAGTCGTGGGTCTAGTGGGGGGTACATAGACTGGACGACATCGTCCACTCGGGGACTGATCCGTTGGGCAACTCTAATGATTTCCCACAACTTGTGCTGCTGTTCCTCCTCCTGGTATCGGGTCATTGCACTCATCGTCGAGTTCATAAAACTTGTGATTTTATATCACAGTTTATAAAGTATAATAAAAATACATTCATTGAACTCAAAAGGCAACTGTTTTTCGACATAACAATCGAAGGAAATAAATGACAAATTAGTAAAAATAATGCATTCATTATGAAAATATTTTTTAATGCTGTATAGTAAGGATATTTAACTTAATTATCTAAATAAATTAATATTGAAATTTGTTACCACTATATTGACTATCGTACATATTATTAAAGACAAAATGTTCAAGTTACTATTTTTGTAATTATGATTAATACTACAACTTCAAATTCAATGCTAATGTTATTTGTAGCAAATAGTTAAGGTCTTAAACAAACACTAAATTTAGATATAATACATAAACAAGTTAAAAGTGTTGTGTATTTAATGAATAACCGGTGCACTTGAATACTAAACTGGCAGTCTGTGTGTGGGATTCAATTAGCAATAATTGTTGGCTCAGGGATATACTGCAGCTATATTGTAGGTGTACAGGTATATTACTAGAGAATTAAAAGTAACAAACAATTATTATCTGACAGCATATTCAGAAAATCGTCAAAATAGTGAAATTCTAACATTTATAACACATTATGTTTATTTGAAATCTAATGAAACGAGTGGTCGTGGAAACAACGATATAAGATGTCTATCAATGAGTTTCTATAGTGAATGAGTGCATAATTGGCGCAATGGGTCACTCATTGAGTAATGGATTTCTGTATTTGGTTGAAAGCATTGCAATCAATGTCAACATCGATTAAAATGGTGTAATGACTATATTTGCCTCCAAGGGTACATTCAACAGATATAAGGTATGGCAGTGTGAGTGGTGTACTTACTCTGACTCGGGTAGACTTTATTTTGAGCGGACATTGTCGATGGCGCCGGCAGTTCAAAGATTCCCTTAAAGGTCGAGAATCGCGACGAAAATTGTTCTTCAATTCAAATCAATAGACAATTAGTTAATCAAACGAAAGGAAAGCGCGAATAATGTTAGGAAATACCTCTACTGTTATTGGAAGTAGTCTTAGAGGTATTCCGGATGGGAGGGGGCGGACCGGGCGATGAGAAGTCATTTCTATTGACTTTAGGGTTGACTACTTTGGTAAGCGAGGGCGGGGGCGGTGGCTGTGAGGGATAGTTATTATTAGGTGTGCCATTAGACGTACTTCTGTGCGGAGGCGGTGGTGGAGGTCCTAACGGAGCTCGACTGGTGACGGGCCCTTTGGGCGCCTGTATGGGAATAGTGGGCGCACTGGCCTTCATGGATGGCAACCGCTGAACAGTATTGTTAGGCCGCGTCGGGATCGTCGACACGGGTGGTGGCGGTGGCGGATATGTCGGGCTTTGAGACATACCGTTGCCATTCCTGGGCGGTGCCGGAGGTTTGACGGACTGTTGGTTGAAGTTTGACACCAATGCAGAAAAGTCTGGTTTTGCACTCGAGTTCTCTGTGAAACTCTGTCTTTGACTGACATTCAATGGTTTCGATTGAATGGTTTGATGGGAAACACTGTTAGCACTGTTCACACCGTTAGCCATTTTGGGCGGTGGCGGGGGTTTCATATTTGGCGGCCCCGGCCTTCGGTTCACATTTGATGCGCTTCTACTACTGGACTGGGAGTTGGACCTCTGGATTGTGGGCGGCTTTTTAGGCAATAGAGGGGCACTGGTCTTCGTGGGGCCGGACGGCGGCACTTGAGGCGCCTGTCCTTTGCTGTCGTTCACCACATAATTGGGTTTCTCTCGTGCTTTCATTGTATGGAATTTGTTATTATTGCTAACATTTAGTCCATTGATTGGATGCAAAAACGATGAGTTATTGTTTGAATTGCTTTGAAATTTCGATTCAAGACTAGTCTTAATGGATGTATTTGTCGGTCGCACCGATTCGTCAGTTTTCGTGTAACTATTGTTCACTTTATTCGCACTAACGGTCAGTCCGTTGGCCACTAACTTACTGCCCGTTTGGTTGGCCACTAACTTACTGCCCGTTTGTCTCAGTTTAGGGACACCGCCAGCAAACAGTCCTCCCAATTGCATCGGTCCTCCAGACATACCATTCGATGACTGCATCGGCTTTTGAGGACCAGAACTCCCATTATTTCCAGACGAAGACGCTTTGCCTGAAATCACATCAAATCAATTAAACTCGCATTCAGTCAATACATAGCTATTAAAGCAATGAATAGAGAAATGTTTAGCAAATATGTGAGCGAAACAAGAGTTTGAGTCAATTATAGCATCAAATGTTAGGTCAGAAGCCATAAGAATATAGCGTTTAAGACAACAAATGGTTTAGTGATTGCAAGCGGAATATGATAGCGGATGGCAATGACGGCAATGTCAGCAATGTCTGGATGTATACCATCGAGAATGGGTGCACTCCTGTCGTTCACTTGAGCGGTCTTTTTAAGTCTGGTGCCGGACCTGATCTCAGACAACATGGCATTCCTACCCTGAGCATCGTTCTTAGCGAGCTTAGGCGGTCCACCCGCTGGTGGTGGCGGTGGTGCGGGTGGTGGTGGCGGAGGTAAGGGTGCCATCGGATCACTAAACCTATTGATAACCACTATTGAGAGCAACTGATACTCTAATGACAAACAAATAACAAAACAAATCAATAATCAAATCAAACATAAAATGATCGCTAAATGTCTAGTAATGAGTGAATCAGTGATTCAGTGGATCCAGTGATTCAGTGGTTGTCTCACACTATAAGGACAACCATTTCAGTGTTCAATGAAATGAAGTGATTGTGTGTTGACTGCAATCGCAACCACTTATCGCAGGTTTGCAATTAAGCCTTAATATTAGACTAACAGTAATACTAATCACTTATCACTGAAACCTACATTCAATACACTGTACGCTGTATTGTATGCATAGTAATGGTTATGCGTATGATTGGCTCGTATATTGAATTAAGGATTTGAACAAATGAACGCAAATACCATTGATGTGAGCATTGGTGAGAGTCGTGGACAGGGATGTAGTGGTGATGTAGTGGTGGTTGTGTCGGGCAATGAGTGGTAAATGAGCACAAATGAGTGGTCGTTGCAGTCAATGAGTTCACTATTAGAGGCTTTAAATGGGTTCACAATAATGACAACAACTGTAAGATGACGGAAGTTAGCCCTCACTCACAACCAGCCAATCACTTACCACTTCACACATACAGCTAATACGTCCGCTNTTATAGTAATGATATGAAATTTGTGTATATTTTCCATTTCAAACATTGTTCTTGAATTTATGTTTTATTGAGTTTATACTTCTGTTCAAATATGAAACAAAATTTTATTACTATTACATCTATGTTTTTGCAAATTAATTACTTTTATACCAAAATATCTACAGTATAGATTCTATAGTAGTGTATAGAATCAAAAAAGTATTCTATACTTTGTATTACCCATAGCTTGAGTTATTAAAAATTGAGATCTATGAATTATATGAAATCTACCAAAAATTAAAGATTTTAATCATACCTTAAACTTGAAAACTTAAAGGAAAAACAAATGTTTTCAAGTGAATGTCTAGAAATTTCTAATTTGATCCTGGGATGGTCTTAATTGAACTCAATATTACAAATTGTATTTACATATAAGTTAGTGTTAAGATTAATTCAATTGTTCAAATATATCTTTCAAATATTTGCTACCATTTAGATACTATTTCTATTGATCTTGACTATTTATAGAAATATTAAAATTTCTAAAAATGAGCAATAACAAATGAGGTTTATTTATAATTTAGTAAATTATTTATGATAATGTAATGTGTATTGTACAGTATACAATGAAAAATGCTATGTATCTACAGTATGTATAATATAATAATTTAATAAAATTTAGAATACAAATAGAATATGAATGTAAAAACATATAAATATAAATTGATTTTTTATAAAAATAATAATTGAAAGCTTGAAACGGACTAGGTAATGCCATACATTAGGTTTATATCCTTTTGATAGAATTGTTGGATGTTTTTTCGCTTTAATTTAAGCGCAGATGTGACCAAATTGTTATCCGGAAGCCATTCCTCTGAACACAACTTAATTTTGTTGGGAATCTCCGTTTTAGATAACTTTGAATTTCTTGCAATACTTTGAATGGACTTCAATACCGAGGCATTGATGTCTGTGTCGGCGCACAACTCGGGGAAACTCATATGACTTTTGAATAATTTGTTGGCTAATTGTTGCAATTGTTTTGCATTGGGAATAATCAATGCAATCAAATAGTCTTTGCCTGAATTGCCATAAACGCAGACATTGTCAACAAATGGACATTTTTTAATTTCTGCCTCCACCTTATATTACAAATATTTGCAAATAAATAATTGATTCATTCATTGGTTAACATACTTTAGCTAACGATACGTATTCTCCAGTCGACAACTTTATGATATCCTTCTTGCGGTCAATGATTTTGATGGATCCGTTTGGGTATATCTCTCCGATATCTCCCGTGAAGAACCATTTGATTCCATTCTCTTCTTTGTATGACTCCTGAGTCAACGCTTCATTTTTATAGTAACCGTTCGTAACGTTTAGTCCGCCGACCACTACCTCACCCTTTGGTTCACCATTTGGTTTCAAAGAAGACATATCAAGTTAAACCCTGTACTACAATATTAACAGTGACCAAGATCACCCTTGGGTTTGGTTTGTCGATCACTTTATAATTGCCTTCTTCCCAATCAATGAGTTTGATTTGAATGCCGTCCAGGGGTTGGCCCACAAACCCAACACTAGAGTCATCCAAATCCATGAGAGTGGCCGATGCAGACGTTTCAGTCAATCCATAACCTATTTATGATTAACTTATTTATATAATAATTGCATACTTTTGTAACTATTAAATCATACAAACCTTGCAATACCTTTAGATCAAAGCAGTGGCGCATAAACTGATGAGCTTCTGGTGAAAGAGGTGCTCCGCCACAGGCTATCACTTTCACTCTTCCTCCCAGAATTGCTTTGAATTTTCTGCAAAATATTATATTAATGATTGGAGTATTTAAATCAAAATCACTCCAAAAGCTCTTTTGACTTCTTAGAAAAATAAACACTATTTTTGACAACAAATTCCTGTTAACTGTGTCTTCAATGACTCTTCGAATCCGGTCTAAGATGAGGGGAACGGCTGTCATAATTGTAGGCTTAAGTAATGTCAGGTCTCCTTTCATCCCTTTCTTAAGACCCGTTGACTTATCTGTAAGCGTCTGAATGGTTGCGAAGCCAACCGACAAACCATTGGAAATGAAGAACAATTGGGCACTCATTTCCATGATGTGAGCCATCGGTAGATAAGCGCAGTAAACGTCATCGGAGGCCAACGCTTCGGCCAACGTGTAGAAGGCTTTGACTGCAGTCAACAAATTCCGGTGCGAAACCATCACCCCTTTGGGAACACCCGTTGAACCCGAGGTATACATGATAACAGCGGTGTCCTGTGCGGTGGCCTCCACTCCTTTCAAGTCTTTGTGTGATTTTCCCAGTTCTTCGATTTGGTCCATCGAATAGAAAGTAATTCTTTTGAGCTCTCTTTCACTGAAGATCTCTTGAATATTGGGTCGATTGTGTCCACTCATATAGACAATGCATTGAATTTGTGTTAATTTATGGATAACTGCTTTCAATTTGAATAACAACTCAGAACTGGTTATAAGATGCGTGACCTGGCATTCGGTGATACCGTATATAATTCCTTCTTCACCTAAAGTGGCATAAAGTGTGGCCACAGTCGAGCCAACTCTGAACAGAGACTGAGCCGATATCATCCACTCGAGTCTCGTGTCCGCGAATATCATTACAATATCTTTCGGTTTAATTCCAATCGATAAAAATCCTTTAGACATATATTCGACTCTATTATTGATTTCTTCACAACTGAGCCATTGATAGTCAGATAACACGATTTTCTTGAATACTTTTCCATCGGACTGTTTCTGCTCTTCTTCGTGCAAGACTTGTCTGAATCCAAAGCAATGCTTGTCTCTAAACTTTTGCATCACTTTAGAGAAGAGTTGCGGAACAGATGAACACTCGTCGAGCAAATTGCTTTTGATGCCAGTCTTTGTTTGTGCTCTCAATCTAATCCATGGACTCCCCGGTGACTCAGATGACAATTGTTTGGCTCTTCTTTTCTCTGTTCTCTCAAACAAATACTTCTTTACAAGACATATGAGAAGTGGTACTAAATTGTAAGATACTATCAAAATACTTAATGGCAAAAATACAAATTTAAAGAATATTCCCTTAAGACTCATTGAATTTGCTGAAGAATTCATTGTACACTATTTACGAAAAGATTAGGATTTAAAGTTTAAATTTTAAAGTAAAGTATTTTCTACGAGTGTTATTCAAATAATGACAGTTCGGGCGTTGCATTCAAAATTACAACAATAGCTGGGCTATTAGACAATTTCTATCAGGAACAGTGGCTAAATGGTGGTATCATTAGATTAAAATACAAAATCAATGTTTAATTAATAAGGTTCACGAGATTATGATATAATATATCAGATATATTCTTGGTCTGCTACAGTAGTTGCCGTATTAGTTGAGTTAACGTTTGAATAGTTCATATCTATTCATTCTTTCATAGAAGTCTAATAATGAAATCAATTTCACCGATTATTTTGGTGATAAGTGGTGTCATAATGTCGGGAGAATTCAATGATTTTTGTCAATCATTTATAGCAAATAATAATGGCATTCATTTTGCACTCAACTACCGAATCAATCCAATTGACAAATACACTCAAATAGATGAATCAACACATTTCAATGTCTTCTACATATTCATTGCCCATAACTATTGGCTAATAATACCACAAAATACGAGTCAATCGGATTCAGATGTCCTACAATTACAGTCAACTGAAAGCAAAACAAGTAATTTGAATGGAAAGGCATATCAGTTCGGACTCGTTATCTATACAGATATCACTATTTCTGATACTTTCCGATACTTATTACAGATATTTTACTGGATTTAAAAATGTAATTAATTTAATTCTTTAATTGTATAAATATTTTTTTATTAAAGCATTATTTCATA